AGAAAGGCTGTATCGATTTTATTGTCTCAATACATTCTGATGTCTGTCTCAGCACATTACCCCATAAGCTTTAGGTATTTTTTTACTTTTAAGGATCTTTGTGGTGGCGTAATTATTTTATTTGGAAGTTTTAATTGTGAGATTTGTTTAAATATATTAGCCATTTTTATTTCCTTTATGAAGTGTATTTAGGTTTTTTGTTTATTTTTATATGAGCTCTTAAAATATTTTAGGAACCACTTGGCATTTTTCCATAGAATCATTCATTACTCTTAAACAAATAAATCTGTTACTACTCATTCTTGGGCAAACTCAAGTTGCCCATATGAGAAAAAGAAATGGCCCAAATGCTATTCTTTGTCTACAACTCAGTCCTTGGGATTTTTGATACGGAAACAACATTTTATGCTCTGCCTCAAGAATATTCTCTGAAGTATGACAATACTTGCTGGGTTGGTGGTTACATAGGCTTCCTGTCCCCAAGTTTTAGTGGCTTTGAAGAATGACTGAATCTCTTTGAGGTGATTTCCAAGTCTTGATGGTGAATCGCATAATGCAGTGAAGCCCAGGTTTCAAGTCAGAACATCACAAATTTAGTAAAAGTCAGTTTGGCCGGGAGCGGTGGCTCACGCCTGTAATCCTAGCACTCTGGGAGGCCGAGGTGGGCAGATTGCTCAAAGTCAGGAGTTCGAAACCAGCCTGAGCAAGAGTGAGACCCTGTCTCTACTATAAATAGAAAGAAATTAATTGGCTAACTAATATATATAGAAAAAATTAGCCGGCATGGTGGCGCATGCTGTAGTCGCAGCTACTCGGGAGGCTGAGGCAAGAGGATCGCTTGAACCCAGGAGTTTGAGGTTGCTGTGAGCTAGGCTGATGCCACGGCACTCACTCTAGCCTGGGCAACAAAGTGAGACTCTGTCTCAAAAAAAAAAAAGAAGTAAGTTTGGCATTTGTCGTAACTTGGGAAAAGCAAGCCACAACTCTGTGTGTGTGTGTGTGTGTGTGTGTATATATATATATATATAGAGAGAGAGAGAGAGAGAGCTTTTATCTTTTTAATAGAGCTACTGAATTTTTTCTTCCATTATATTTACCCTTAGAAAGTCTTTCTCAAAACAAATGCATAGTAATCATTGTGGAAACTCTAGAAAGTCTCTGTACCTTCCTGATGGATGTACAAGAACTGTTGTTCTCGTGATGAAAAATTTTTTGAAGACCTTCCTTGCATTTGGGAACTTATGAAAGAATGAAATCAGTGTCTGCCTGGCTGTGGAGCCAGTATTTTCACAGCTTCATGTAATTTGTGAGTCTGTCTGATATCTTGGTTCAAAATAATCTGATTCTAATAGCAGTCATCCACAGCTGAGTGGTAGCAGTATTCCCATAAGGAACTGTTCATCTTTCTCTGTAAAGGAGCTGATAGGTTATCCTGGACCATTTCCACATGTGTGCAAGCCAGTGTAATTACATTGGTTAGAGTGTGGCTTTGATAGCATCTTTCTAACTTTATTCATTTTGAGGATAATCTTCCATTAATCCTAGGAATAAACTTGTACACATGGTGTCTCATAACTTTCTAGTGAAAGATGGATATAGCATTTTTGTTGTATAAATATAGAAACTAAGAGTCACAAATATGCCTTACCAGACATCTCAGTTACAAAACTATGCCTAGCTACCAGGTTTTCATCCCAGAGGTAGCTTTTCTCTAAACCATATCATCTTCCTTAGAAACAGTAATATCTGGACATTTCTTCTTCTCACATCCACATAACAGTGCTGAAAAGCACTCCCCTGTAGACCCACCTAAAGAGATTCTCTCAGTTATGATCTGCCAAGGCCGCTGCATTCTCAAAACACTCAGGATACAGATTTTTCAAAATTTGTCAGAGTTGGACATGCTGAGGCTAACAATCTCCTCATGAAACTCAAACCTTTTCTTCTGATCTTCAGACATAAATATTCTAAGTCTTGTGAACTAAAAAGTAAGAAATTCATGAGTTGAATTGCCTTTTGGGTGACTGCTATCATACTCGCCTTTAAATGCTTCATGTACAGTGTAAATGTGCTTGAGAAAGTGAAACAATATGAAGTCTACAAGTCATTCTCCAAGTCTAATGTGCTTACAATGTCCAATATAACTAACTTTACTTATTTTTTTCTCAGTTTAAACATCTTAGAACATTTTAATAGTGAGGTACATGTGATAGTAAAACTCAGCAGAAACCAAGCGGGGGAAGTAGGGGATGAGTAAATTCACACCTAACGGGTACAATACACACTATCTTGGTGATGGGCACACTTATAACTTTGACTCAAATGATACAAAAGCAAGTCATGCAACCAAAATGTTTATACCCCTGAAATAAAAAAGTAACCTTAGAACATGGAAAAGAAATGCTATGCAAGGCCCTTTCTATACCTTATGTTGTGTTTTAATATTCTTTCATTACTTTGAGCTGGGCTTAAAGTCAGAACAGCCTACTATGGACCACAACATATTTTCAGTTAATTTAGGCCTGTCTGTGGTCAAATCTTGGCTAACCATCTTAATTCCTTGGTATCTGCAATATATCCTATGTGAGAAATTGACTTGCCAAAAACAGAACCAACCAACCAAACAATAGTAAAGAGGTGTCATTCAAAAGAAACTTCTGAGTAAAAGTAATTAGGGCCCCCAAAACATTGCTAGTTGGAAATGGTACCACATGCTTAGTGCCAAAGGAATAATCATACAGTTTGAAAATTTTAAATATATAAATAAGTTTTCAGAAGCATTTCTGAATTTTTGGCCAGGATACCAACTGTTTTATGCAAGTATTGAGTAACTTCCCTATTACACAATATCATATCAGCCAGCAAACCCAAAAATCATTAGATATTGATGATTACATCAGAATAACATTATTGGGTAAATGACACAATATTGGCCATCTTAAAATGGGTTTCCAGTCATTTTGCATAGATTTGCTGTTAGTGAAAGTAGTACACATTGAACTTTCAACAACATAATTTATATGAAGGACTAAAATTGTGAATGTGAAAAGCTATCTTTGGATAACATACATACTCAGTATATTTTTATTTTAGCATGACACGTTTAAACATCTAGTAATTTTAGCTTTATTTTTCCATTCATTTAATTTCAATTTGCTTTTAAAAGAAATTTCTTATATAAATTAAGCCTAAACCAAATGAATTTTTAAAGCGTAGTCAGCAATGTTTTTTTTTTTAAGGATTTTTGTTTAGAGAAAATATACAATGAAGAAAAACTTCATAAAACTTTATAATTGAAGCTTTTAAAATATGCTATTTTAAGTATGTCATCTCTCTGCCCTCATTAGGTGTGTCTCATCATTAGAGATAATGTTACTAAATAGTTGTAACTTTACAGCTGCTTTGATTAACGATGGCTTAGACTAGGGTTTCATTGGGTAGGATTAACTACGTTTAAAGATGGCAAAATGCCATTATTACATTAATGCCAGAATTTAATGAAAACCAGAAGTTAACTTCAAGGACCTTTATAATTTAATATGGGTACATGACTATGTTCTCATTGTTTTAATGTAGTGTCCTATTAAGAGAACAGAGCAAAAAAAGAACTTATTTTTGTGATTTAAATTTTTGCCCAGCAAACATTTATTGCCTATCAAGTAAGTGCCAATCACCACTGTGCTGGGGTCTTGAAGAGTGAGAATGTTTTCTATCCTCAAAACAGCCTTTTTGATCAGAAAGAATAGAAATGAGAAACACCTCCCTTAAGAACTCTCATGGTCTTCCTTAATGTTGTATGACTCTGGCTTCCTAAGGCATGTACCTCCTTAATCTTTGGTCTGTTTCTTTTTTCATTTTTTATCAGCTGCCACCTACATTGTCTGGATTTGAAAAGTTGGATAGGTACATCCTTACAGTAAAAAATGGGAAGTAGGGCAGGTAGGAGATAAAGAATAGCTGATAGGATTCTTTGTTTCTGAAAAATCTTCCTGTGCTAAAGGTGTATGGCAGGGGGGACCTTCTTTCTGTAAAATGTAGAAAACCCCTAAAAAATCCCATGATTCTTTTTTCTTTTAAAATCTTTAAATACACACACATATATGCACATATATACTTGCAAAGAAATGTTGAGTTTTTACAAAGTAAGACTATAAACCATTACTACAAGATGGAAGAAGTAAAATATAGCAGAGGCAAAGAAGAAACTGCTTCCACAAGTTCCTGATGGAGGAAAACCTCAACTATTTAGCTTGTGGTGTGGGCTTCCTAGTGGCTAAGGCAAAGAGGAGAAATAGGATAACTTGGTGTGATTTTTCTGGTAGTAAGACACATACCACCAATTCATCAGAACAAACGAGAATTCTTCTTGCTTTCCATTAAAAATAAGAACAAGTTGTCCAGGGGCTTTGGATAAGAAGCCATAAGGCACATAATGAATGATGTCCTCATGAATTTTTATAGAAAATAAAAAAGGACTGCACATATGTCATTTCATATATTGGCATTTGGAGAACATGAAGGGAATAACATTAAAAGCAAGGCTCTATTTCCCCATGGGCTAAGGAGAAGGGAGTTTGAAACTTCTGGTATATTTACTGTAGATAGATGCTTATTTTCTTTTGACCCACTGACATGTGGAGCAGTAGAAAGATGTAAAGATGTCTAGTAAAGGGTAGCATTGTTCAAAGTACGAGGGGATAAATAGCATTTTTGTGGCAGGATGATATTTGAAAGACTGATCAGGCCACTGGGAGGTTTTTAAGTATGCCAGTTCCCTGTAACAGGAAGATCAGTCTCTGTTTTAGACAGCATATCCAATTTAGTAAATTATTATTATTCCGTCAAAATTAATGTGAACAATTTTCTCTTTGAGGCTGCTTTTTCCATAGGTGATGTTTTCCAGATGGGCTTTGTGCAAAACTCTCAATGTTTTGTGTTTTCTTTCCTAGAGAAGGAGCCTTTTCTGACATCTTTTCTTTCTCTCTCTTCCCCCATTGCAGGGAAGAGAACACCCAAGGCCAAGGAGAAGAAGAACAAGAAAAAGAAGAGGAAGCTGATAGAAAGAGCCCAGGAGCAACACAGTGTCTTCCTCGCCACAGACAGAGCTAACCAGTAAAATACAAGACACACATGGTGGAATTTGGGGGGTTTTTGTTTTTGCGAAAGTGCACAAAGCTACTCTCCACTCCTGCACACTGGTGTGCAGCGTTCGTGCTGCTCTGACCATTCTCTGTTCCCAGTAACATGGTGAAAGGAAGCGCCCCAAGCGTGGCCTCTGTGCTATTTGTGCTTTGATTTGAACCTGGAGATCGTGAAGGCGGCAGGAGTCAGTGCACAGCCTGCAACTTGGCTCGGCGTGTGCCCAGACTGCACCCCTGGGCACGCGAGAAGTGTGAGGCTGCAGACCACCCCTGGCGCCCGGACCTGTGCCTACTGATGTGAAAGACAGTGCTCTCGGCAGGCAAAGTGCTATTCACTTGTGACCTTTGTTTCTCACCGTGTGCATTTTCAAGGCTACGTGTTTGTGGATATCTGCTTAGTGTTACCACATGGTGTTCTCAGCATCTGTTACCTCCATACTGTTGTGTGATGAAACTGCTTCTAGCTGGGGACATGCGCCGGAAACTGCTGCCCAGTTTCACAGCGGCCCTAATATGTACATATTCTGCTGGGGCTCTGCGTATCAAGCTCTTATTTACTGTATATTTATGCTTTCTTGTGTGTAAGAAGTCATACCTGATTAACATGATGTCACTTTAGTGGGTCCTAACCATTGTCTGGTAAATGACTGTTCTAGTTTTGCGAATTGACAAAATTAACAAATGTTTTGTTGCTTCTTGAAAGATTTTTTTTTTTTTTTTGGTCGGCTTATTTCTCATTGTAAGAATAGGATAAACTAGTTTTTGTATATAGAGTCAAATGACCAGCGTCAAAGAGTTTGAATATCAACAGCCCTTCCCCACTCCATGTGTCCCACACACAGATAAAACAGTATCTGGCAAAACTCCCTATGAGTCTAAGATGTGATGACTTTAAGAAACACAACCCAAACCATGAGAAATTACATGCAGTTGCTTGCAGTATTCATCATGCAATTTCACAGGCCAGCTACAGAATTTTTCAAACTTAGTTCTGACTTTAATTTTTTAAAAATTTGAAGCAATTCCTGACTTTTAATGACAGGGCACCTAATAATATATTTGGGTCACTGAAGAAGTTGCCATCACGAGTCTCTGCATACAACGACAAGACAACAGGGTGAATTCCTACAACTGCTGGTCAGATCTTAACAGGTCTTCATTGAGCCAGAATCTATTTCATATCCATCATTGTCCACTTGGGGGAACCAGTTTTTAGAGGGTTGTGAATTGGCTTTTTCTAAAAGCATCATTATCTTCCTGGCTGATCCAGGAGAAAATTAGAACAAAAAAGAAATGCTTGCAGATTTCTGAGGAAACCAGCAAGCAAGGTTAAAACTGTATTCTTCTTACCTTGCATTGGCAAAACTACCTCTTCAGTGTTCTTGTTTGAGTCAAAAAAAAAAAAGCATCTTACCAATAAGGATAAATGTCATATACATCATTATGAAAATACTATTCCTATGAGATAAGCCATATATGAATGTTGTATACAACTTTAGGGTTCTCATTTTAATCCTGAAGTGTTCACCTCCTTTCATGCCTATGTATACTATATTCCCAAGTGGGGAGGGGTCTCCTTTATATAGTGCTTTATCATTAATAAGTCAGTACCTGTTCTGTTTCTGGGATGTTCTTTTTGTGCATTAAAAACTTTAAAATTATTTGTGGAGATTTTTTCACTTTATAGAAACATCTTAGGAAAAAATGTAGTACTTTAACAACAGTACCCCCAAATAATGGTCCTTAAAAATATTTTAAAAGCCTATGGTCATAACTACATCTAAGACACTAAGTAGTTACTCTATAAATTAAACTATAATAGTGTAGCGGTTAAGAATGGGGATTTTAGAGCCAAACTGCCTGATTTTCAACTTGGAGAGACTAATTTGTCCCAGGCTATTCCAAGTCTCAATTTCCTTATCTGTGAAATGGAGATCACAGTAGCATCTGCCTGTGTTTTGAAGATTACATAAAACATACATAGGGTTATGTTTTAAAAATTAGGAAAAATGTATAAAGTACAGTCAGTATAGCATGGTATATGCTAAGTACTACATAAGTTGTTACCTCTTTCGTTGGATATTTACATTCTTTCAAACAGAGGATATTTATGAAAGTACCAGTACCCTTCAATCTATTGCTTGCTGCCTGGACATTATTTGCCAAAACCTTTATTCTTATGGGAAGGGAATTGATTTTCATTTACTTGGCTTATGAGTCTTTTTGTTATAAGTAACATACAGACACATACAAAACTGACTTCATTACTATATCACAATTAGGGTGCAGTCAAGGTATTTCAAACAGGAAATTTAACACTGGGAATTGGTTACACAGGCAATAAAGGAGACAAGAAGTCAAAATGGGTTAATAAGACACGAGGTTTCCAGAATTCAGAAGTCAAGGACAACCCAGTGTTAGAACAATAGCTGAGGCTAGAGCTGTAACCACAGAGGGAGCTGGAACCAAGGACAGAAAGCTTGGAAAGGATCTGGTCACTGTGAGAAGTGTTGCCTTAGGCAAAGTGAGGGAAGAAGAAATACCCTGGCTTCACTCAATCTCCCAGCCTCAATCTTCCACCAGTGCCTGCCACTGGGCAAGGAAGTCTGGGTACCGTAGCTCTGAGATGCAGACGAACAGCAAGGGAAGGGCAGAGAGTAGATCTAAGAATAAACAAGTAATCAGAATAACCACCAATACCTGCCTCAACCTATACCCCTTCCTGCCTTTCCAATTTTAGTTAATATCTTTACCTAGTTGGTTACATGAAGACTCTTGTATTGTATTTATCATTTACTCCCATTGTTCCCTATGTCTAATCAGTTTACCTTGGAAATCCCTCTTGAATCTCTCCCTACCTCTTCACTGTCTTTGTCCAAGACCTTGTCCTCTTGGACTGTTCCATTTTTCCTAAATATCATTCTTGCCCCCCGATTCATTCCCTCCAATTATTTCTTTATATTTCTACCATTTTTCTATTATATTTTACTGCTTCCGCTTGTTTAAATACTTTCTTATGGAATAAAATCTTAAAAATGTTCACATAGAATACAGTGCCCTCTTAATGTCCTCTTCACCCATGTATCTTATGGGGATCAACAAAAGACTAAATGGGCTGAGATGATTGTTGTAAAATCTTCAAGGGTTCCTTTATGGTAAACTTGGACATGCTCTATCAGTTGTCGCCTCTTGAATCATGAAGATAGAAATTGTAAGGGCAAATATGGCTTTCAAAGTAGAAGGTGCACATATTAAATTTGAGAGGTTGGACAGTCTCAAAAATGTGTGAAGAATCAAGGCTTAGACAGATTCCAACATAAATCTATGATGAATCATTACAGCAAATTGCCATGTGCTACCTCCTCCAGTTCTAGCCGATATTGTTAATCACACTCTCGGTCTCTGAAGTTGACAGGGGAGTTAGAACTTTTAATTTACCAGGTACAAATTAATGCACTACAGTGACAGTTATCTTTACCCAGAAACACTCTTTGGAGCATTCCATGCAATATTTTTCAAAGCTTTCCACTAAAGTACCCTTAAAGGCAGAGGAAAGTGAATGTATAACTCTGGAATTATAACCTGAAGCAGAAATATTTTAATCCTGATCTTAATCTAAAAATTCATGTAATTTTTGCATTCTATTCAGTAAAATGGCTGTTTTTTAATTTTTATTTCAGCATATTATGGGCAAATGTTTAGGTTATATATACTGCCTTTGCCCCACCTGAGTCAGAGCTTCAAGCATGTCCATCCCTCAGATGGTGGGTACTGCACCCATTAGGTGTGTATATACCCATCCCCTCCACTCCCTTCCCACCTGCCAGACACCCAGTGGATGTTACTACTCTATGTGCACTTAAGTGTTAGTCAGTTAATACCAATTTGATAGTGAGTACATGTGGTGCTTGTTTTTCAATTCTTGAAATACTTCACTTAGTAGAATGGGCTCCAGGTTTATCCAGGATAATACAAGAGGTGCTAGATCACCATTGTTTTTTGTGTCTGAATAGAACTCCATGGTATACATATACCACGTTTTATTAATTTTAAAATTAATTAATTTTAATTAATCAATTAATTAATTGACTCATGTATTGATGGACACTTGGGTTGTTTCCACATCTTTGCAATTGTGAATTGTGCTGCTATAAACATTCGAGTGCAGATGCCATGAGACTACTGGAATTGATAAATTCAGCAAAATCTAAGGTTACAAAATCAACATACAGAAATCAGTAGCATTCCTATATGCCAACAACAGTCAAACTGAGAACCAAATCAAAGACTCAATACCCTTCACAATAGCAACAAAGAAAATAAAATACCTAGGAATATATTTAAGGAAGTAAAAGACCTCAGGGTAACTGAGTAAGGAAATAGCAGAGGACATAAACAGGTGGAAAACCACACCATGCTCATGGGTCAGCAGAATCAACATTGTTAAAATGTCTATACTACCCAAAGTGATCTACAGATTCAATGCAATCCCTATTAAAATATCAACATAATTTTCACAGATATAGAAAAAATAATTCTGTTTCATATGGAACCAGAGAAGACCCCATATAGCAAGAGCAATCTTAAGCAAAAACAACAAACTGGGAGGCATCAATTTACCAGACTTCAAGCTACACTACAAGGCTATAGTAACCAAAACAGCATATTACTCACACAAGAACAGAGACATATACCAATGCAACAGAACTGAGAATCCAGATATAAAACCATCCTCATATAGCTATCTAATCTTGGAACAAAGCAGACAAAAACATACACTGGGGAAAATAATTCCTATTGAATAAAAGGTGTTGGGATAACTGGATAGCCACATAGCTGTTTATTTTTAAATGCAAAATTATGCCCCCTAGTCTCCCACACCCCCCCCAAAAAAAGGAGTAAAAGCACATTCAGGAAGATGTTCTATGTTTATTTGGTCCTGACTTGCACACACTCCTTGGCACTTAGTCACTTATCCCTGGAAAAATGCATGTCTCTATTTCAGAAGCTCAACAGTAGTGTTTGCTAATGGCTGTGCCAGCTAACTCCTCCTTGGTTTCATAGCGTTAGCTTCGGTGGCATGCTCTCCAGGTACACATTCAACTTTAACTTGATTCTCTTCTATTGCTCCCTTTCTTCTTGCTGGTGTAGTTATGACTCAGCCACAGACCTTCTTCTCTACATCTGTTTTTGAGAAGAGAGGTCAGCAAACTTTTCTGTCAGAGGCCAGAGAGTAAATATTTTAGGCTTTGTGGGCAGCATGGTCTCAGTCACAACTACACAATGCATCAAGACCCCCATTTGCTTTTGTAACACAAAAGCAGCCATATTCAGGGCATGACTATGTTGTAATAAAACTTTATTTACAGGCAATTAAGTGTGAATTTCATAGTTTTCATGTGCTATGATACATTCTTCTGATTTTTTTCCAACCATTTAAAAAACATAAAATTGTTAGCTCACCAGCCACACAAAAATATGTGGCAGTCTGGATTTCTTGACCCTTGATATAGAAGATAGTGTTGGTTAACACACTTTCCTTGCAAACTTTGTGAGAGGCTACCTCTGTCTCAGCTATACACACACTGCTTCTGGTAGGAGTCCAATAAGTGTATTGAATATATATGCTATTTTAACCACTCTATGTATGGGGATAAATCCCAACTTTATATTGCCATTCTTTTTTTTTCCGGCATATTATGGGGGTACAAATTTTAAGGTTTCAAAAAATGCCCTCCCCCCCACAAGTCTGAGTTTCCAGCGTGACCATCCTCCAGATGGTGCACATCTCACTCATTATGTATGTATATACCCGCCCCCCTCACGATTCTCAGTTCTGTTCACGGGTCAATTCCTATTTTTGTGC